TGCGTTCCAGCCTACGTTGCTGCCTGTTGCAGCGCTCTAGCGCTGCACGGCAAAAACGCATAAAAACCGGTAATCATGTATCCGGAGGTCCGTGCGGCTCTATAACGCTACATCCTCATCCCAACCGATGCCATTTCTCCTGCATGCCGGTAAAAACCAAAGCTTCGCCGATATGTGCCCAAGTGCTTGGCTGCACCGCAGGGATTATTTCTACTATTAGCGATCCGCGAGCTTAGTGTAAAAACGCATGATCGCACCGGCAAGCCTGATGTGTTGCAGCCTGGGTCTTGCTTTCTTTTAAGTGAAATAGTCACAAAACGAGCTTATTTGTATGACTTACCTAACATGTTAACTAAATTAAGGATGATATCAGTAGTGTGAAATAATCCCAGGAAATTGCAAGTTCTACGAAATTGCAATTTCATGATTTAATTTCTTGCTACTATTATCATCCTAAAAAGTTTTATAATTAAGCCGAGTATATCTGTTTCTCGTAATACGTGCAGAATTTTCATATGTCTAATCTATGTTATTTTTTAAACAAATCTTTACGAAAAAACTGAGGTGACGGCATGCAGAGTTCAGGAAGTAGTTTTCATCGATTCGCTGCAGCAAATTCGAAAAACAGCACAGATAACGTAAACTACCTTTATTTTTCTCTCTGTCTGCTGGTTATTTGGCTTTTCTGGGCAAGCTGGATAACAGGTTTTTTGAGGTGAGGGATTAGATTCTCAACACATTTTTGTAATCAAAAACCTCCCCGAGGGGATCATCAAGGAAATCATTTGTTCCTCAACATGTGATGAATAGCGATGCGCTCCTGGGGCTGGCTTGAAGATATATTTTTTCATTCCTTCTTTCTTTCCTGCCTCATGTCTACTTCAACCCTTACCCTCTCCTCTCCTCCCGTCTACTCCTTCCCTTCTCGCAGCTCGATATCTGTTCTGTTTTCCAAAACTGTGCTCAACTGTTGTGCAAATTATCAGAATGGATCTCAGAACGATTGCTGATCGTGTAATAAATTTTAATAAAAACCAACAGAAGGCCCTGTCAGCATGCTTCTAAGTGACGGGAAAAATATCGAGATTTTAAAAAAAAACATAAAAATAGTGAAACTGCTTAAGTTGTTGAAAGATGCACCCACTGTAGTGCCACGAAATTTTCGTTATCTAGTTACCATGATATTACTCAAAGAAACGTTTTTAGCTGATATTTTCTAAAAAATGTTGTTTTTAAGAAAAAAAAAGAAGTGCTTCTCTAAAAAAAAAAATGTTACAGTCGTTCCACAAAAATTCGAGCAGTTAGTAATAACCTTCGTAAGCGGCTCCTAACTACGAAAGTCATTTTTGTGGTCAAATTTCTTGTCTTTTTGAAATGTCAGTTGTAAGCGATCGGCTTACGCCTGCAGCAGACTTCGCAAAATATTGGGCCTCTGGATGCATTGCTGGATTACAGTCATTACTTTGCGCATGTTCAAAGGTAATTAATGGAAACTGGAACGGCCACTGATGGAAGGCTCTGTGCAGCGGTTGAACAGATTTATGTGAATTCATCATTGGTGCGAAATTTGTACATATTCGAGCTAGCAGTGGCTTCCCTCGGCACAGTAGTCGCTGTTTTTATGGCAGTGGTCATTTACCGCGCTAAAATACTCCACTTCAATGCTCGTCTGCTGCTGATCATTTTCAGTTTCAATTCTGCTGTTGCTGACATCGGTGACTTTTTCTTTAATCGAATTGAGCTATTCTACTGGATCCAGAAAACGTATTGCTTGTAGGAATCTTATCGTAAAACTTGGAATTAATAATCGAAACCTGTCTGCGTAGAATCACATGTACAGTTTATGTGGTGATCTCGAACATTACACGAACATTTGATGCGCACCAAATTTACTGTCTATCTTCGGAGTGTCGCGCATATTTAATTAGGCACGGACGAAGGAGAACTCCGTGCAAAGAAACAGCAGTGCCAACGCTTTTAATGGCACATATTTCATAAATTAAAGCCTTATTTCTTGGGAATTGGTCTGAGTGGTAGCAAATACCAACAGCAATCACCAGCTCACAAAGCTACCGATGGCTTTTTCTTTCGCGAGTTGCTTGAAAGCAGTCCTTTAGCGGTTTCTGCTCCCTGGCGCACCTCAGCTAGCAGCAGTTCACCACCGAAATCAATGTGCGATGGATAATGGGTATGGTTGCTACACCAGTTTTTATGGTGTACGCAAATAACAATATTGTCAAGAAAATTCAAGTAAATCCGCAATTACGCATTCAAAGTTGTTTACTTGCAGAAATTTATTTCATAGAATTTTTGATTAAATCAACGCTAATAGCTACATCTTGAAACTTTTTTTATGCATTAGGGCAGGTGTGAAAATGATTATGAGCACTCTTAAAGAAGGCAGATACGCAAAGCCTCAAAAAATGAGGAAAGTTTTAAAATTTCTAAAAAAAACATGAAAATTTTGAAATGTGTTACTCCTTACTGTAGGTCTAATCCGGCTATCCGTCTACATACTATCTTCCATTGCTCTTAACGACAAGAATCTCCGGTGTAGTAGACTCGTCTTTTCCGAGAAACGCTGCAAAGGTTAGTGGTCTTGATGGTACTCCATAAATTAGTCACAAACTGCTGCTAAAAAAGTTTTGGTTCTAAATGGCCTAAAATTAATTTGAAAAAACACCCCTTCTGGTACTAAGTTATGCAACGGCAAGCATGAAATACTGAAACAAAAGATGTGGACTAAGAAACCTTCGAAATAAGTCGGTGAATGTAAAAAAAAAGTGGAAATAAAATTGGAAGAGCGAGCAGATTTGTTAATTTCTGTGCACTTGCTCCTCCTGTGTCTCCGCTCGAAAAAATCAAGTTCACTTGCTGAGGCAATTTTATTTGTAAAAGATCTTACAGTACTACGAGCCCGAACGTAAACTGTGTAAATAACTTGAGCAGTTGCGGTGTCCAGCTGAATTTGCACACAAAACAAATGATTTTTTTAGATTTACAAAAAATTTATGTCTATGGTGAAATTCTTATCATTTTATCCACGGTAACCATAGCTGTTGAACGAGCCATCGCAACAATCTTGTTCAAAACTTATGAAATCAAAAACAGAAGATGGATTGGAATTTTGCTAGTTGCTGTGCAGGTTTATGGCTTTCTTTGTCGGAATTTTTCGTTTCGAACAGCCCCAACCACATGCCCTATTTTTGCATTCATGTTACTTTTTCATATAAATTTCCGAACTAGGTGTCTTAGCAGAGTTGGCATTGTTGAGACAGTGGAACACAAACCAAGGCAAAGAGTTCAGAGGGTCTTGCTGGAATTGAAGGAAAGTAATGGAACGGTATTCCTCTCAGTAATCAGTATTAATTCAACAGCTAGTATTCGCAAATTTTCTCCTTTCAGTTCCATTCATCACGAGTCAGCATGCTCTTCTGGCTAGATTCCAATAAAACTTTCAGATTTTAAATAATTGGCCAACGCACGGGCTGCCCGTGCGAAGATGCGTTTTTTGCATGGTTCCCCGCAGT